CCGACACGCACATCAATCTCCCCCGGCCAACAGCCCTGTGCATAGCACATGGATCATTCGCCAGCAGAGACCTCTGTGCACGGCGGCCGCTTCTCCACATCCACAGGAAGATATCTACTGCAATGGTTTACCCCCAGCGCTGATTAATCCGGGTCACACTCCAATCGAGCATAACCCAGAAATCCGGACACTGAGAGACATGATGACAATATTACAATATACTAAAAACACATCCTAATAAAATTTCCACAACAATCCGCATGGATTCAGCTTGTTTGCGGCTATTATATAGTCGCGAACATGCGTAATCCGTCAAAAAACGCGTTTTGACTATTTTGCGGGCCACTCAGTTTTGTACCGCACGGCCGCCGCAAAAGTCTGAACAATGCACATTAAAGTGCATTGTTCTTTCAGTTTAAAGCGGCTCTGCGTGTATTCAGCCGGCCGAATACGTGCAAGCAACCGATCCAGTGTTCAAATGGAGCATAACTTTTCATTAGATGATCTTAGACACTCCTGTAGACTTGACTGCAATGCTCCCAAGGGCTTATATGTATACACTTTTCAAAAGTAAGGTGATTGAAATGGATAATTAAGTTGCAGTCCAGTGTGTAGTATCTATTAAGGATTTTAATGAATCTCAACTGCGGAACAATTTGCAATATACAATTACCCAGAAGAAAAAAGGCCAAGTAACATAAATGTGGAATAATGTTCAACTTATAATGACATGTGTTCCCTTATGCAGGTTTGGTATAATACACTCAGAGGAACCTGTATTAACTCATACAGACGTAGTGCAGTACTCCCTCGAAGTCCTGTGTCCTTGATACTGGCATCTTGAAATAGCAACGCATGTTTTGTATTCCTTCATACATTTTGCGGTATATTGCATAAGTCACTCAATGGCATGTATTTCATCATACAGGTCTAATGCATCCATTCATAAGGGAAATCCTATCAATAGGCGAATGTGTCACACGCATATCAGTAAATTATACTTGCAGTTGTGTGGATCCTCACTGGAAGCAAGGTAAGTTCTTTGGGAAAATTTCAAAGCAGACTGGGCTTAGAAAGATGGGCTGTTCAAGCTCTTTTGCTTGAAGGAACCGGCAACGTTGTGGACCATAGACGCAGTTGTCAGCCAAGGAAACTTAATGCAGCAGATGAAAGGCACATTATGCTTACTTCCTTTTGACATCAGAAGATGCCCAGCAGTGCCATCAGCACCAAACTGGCAGAGTGTAGTGGGACCCAGGTACACCCATCTACTGTCTGGAAAAGTCTGGCCAGAAATGGTCTTCATGGAAGAATTGCGGCCAATAAGCCATGCCTCCAACGTAGAAAAAAGGCTAAACAAATCAACTATGCACGAAAACATAGGAACTGGGGTGCAGAAATATGGCAGCAGGTGCTGTGATCAGATGAGTCAACATTTAAAATATTTAGCTGTAGCTGGAGGCAGTTTCTACGCATAGGGGCTGGAGAGTGGTACAGTAATGAGTGTCTGCAGGCAACAGTAAAGCATGGTTGAGGTTCCTTGCAAGTCTGGGGCTGCATTTCTACAAATAGAGTTGGAGATTTGGTCAGGATCAATGCTGAGAAATGCACACAGATACGTATCCATCATGTGATTAGCTAAAATTTATTCTGATGGTTTGGCCGCCACAGATCCCTTATCTCAAAATCATCGAGTCTGTCTGGGATTACATGATGAGATTAGAGGCAGCCATTATCCACAGAAGATCTGTGGTTAGTTCTCCAAGATGTTTGGACCAACCTACCTGCTGAGTTAATTCAAAAGCTGTGAAACTCTGTGCAAGTGTAGAATTGATGCTGTTTTGAAGGCAATGGGTGGTCACATCAAATATTGATTAGATTTGGATTTCTCTTCTGTTCATTTAGTTTCCATGTTGTTAATTGATAAAAAATACCTATTAACAATGTTATTTCTGAAAGCATTCCTACATAACAGCATTTTTTCACACCTGCCTAAAACTTTTGCACCGCACTCTGTGTGTATACTATATATATATACAGGTGAAACTCGAATAATTAGAATATCGTGCAAAAGTAATTGCAGTAAGTGCTGCAAAAGGGGCCCAAACCAAGTACTGAGTACATATGCATGCTTGTACTTTTCAGAGGTCCGATATTGTTCTATGTACAATCCTTGTTTTATTGATTACATGTAATAATCTACTTTTTTGAGGTTGTGGATTTGGGGGTTTGTGGGGTTTTCATGAGCTGTAAGCCATAATCATCACAATTATGACAAATCACGGCTTGACTTATCTTGCTTTGCATGTAATGAGTCTATCTCATATATTAGTTTCACCTTTATATTCTAATTATTCGAGTTTCACCTGGGAATATATATAAATGTATATATATATATATATGGTATCATTACAGTGTGCAATGATACCTTTCTTATTGGACTAACAAAATATATAAAAGACAAGCTTTCGAGAGTGAACCTCTCTTCTTCAGGTCAGAAGCAATACTAAGCAACATGACAGTTTGTCAGTTAAGACATGAGAAAGCTGTTAGAGGAGGGGGGAGAGGGGGGGTTAGTGGGGTGTCATAAATGTTGGACCTGGGAGTAAAACATGCCTCCTGATAATCAAAAGATGGAAAAAATAAACGTAGGATGACAAATAAACCCTAAACAGATCAGAGATGTACCACATACATGAATATTGTGATGTTCTGTAGATTCATAAAAAGTTCTGGTAGTGTGTCAGAAAACCAGAATCCACATTAAGTCCCTCCTTTATGGCGTTGAAATGTAAAATCATTTTCATCTCAAATGTTTTCCTTTCATGAGAGTTTTTAAAATTCCCTTTTAGTACTTTAATATTGAGGTTTTGGATGGAGTGATCCTTCTGGGAGAAGTGATGTCCTACTGGAGTGCAATATTCATCCTCTTTGTGGTTCTTGATCGAGCTCCTGTGTAGGTTCATCCTGAGCTGCAGCTTAAGGCCAGTTTCCCCAATGTAACAACCTTTGTCACATGCTGAACACTGTATCATGTACACCACGTTAGCAGATGTGCATGAGTATGACCCCTTAATGGTGTACGCTTTGTTATTGTGACTCGCTGTATTTCTGTCACATATATGTTGGCAAAGTTTGCAGCGGGGTTTATTGCATTGTACTGTGCCATTCTGTGTAAGCGCCTGTTCTGGGGTCAGCTTACTGCGTACCAATCTTCTTCTCAGGTTCAGTGGTTGCTTGAAAGCCAGTATAGGGGGCTGAGGGAATATTTATTTAAGTGTGGGGTCTTCTGAGAGTACTGGCTGTAGATCTTTGATCATTTTGCATATTACCTCTAGAGTAGGGTTGTAGGTAACTACAAGAGGGGTCCTGGTTGGGTTTTTCTTCTCTTTGTACTGTAGCAGTCTTTCCCGTGGTGTTCTTAGGGCAGATTTAATTTTTTAGAAATAGTCTTTTCCCTATAGCCCTTTCGCCAAAATGCATCAGCCAGAGTGCTCAGGTGTTTGTCTCTGTCCTCATTGTCAGAGCAAATGCGGTGGTATCGGATTGCTTGGCTGTAGATGACACCCTGTTGAGTGTGATTAGGATGGAAGCTGGAATTATGGAGGTAGCTGTACCTGTCTGTGGGTTTTCTGTACACAGACCAACAGAGTGACAGTCATGGCACAATCCAGAAAAAACACACTGTGTACTGAGAAATTCATTTTAAATTTCATGGATGGATGGAATGAATTTAATGATTCATGGAAGTTTAAAAGGCTTTCCTCTCCTTCTGTCCATATTACGAAAATATCGTCAATATAAGGATAATATTTGAATGGTTTATGAGGATGAGTGGCTCATAAACCATTCAAATATTATCCTTATATTGACCATATTTTTGTAATATGGACAGAAGGAGAAGAAAGCCTTTTAAACTTCCATGAATCATCATTAAGTTCATTCCATCAGTCAGAGTGACCATCGGGTCACCTCTCTTACAAAGACCCTTCTCCCCGATTACTCCGTTTGGCCGGGTGACCAGCTCTTGGAAGAGTCCTGGTTGTGCCAAACTTCTATTTGAGAATTATGAAGGCCACTGTGCTCTTGGGAACCTTCAGTGTAGCAGACATTTTATTTGTAGCCTTCCCCAGATCTGTGCCGTGCAATAATAATGAGAAGAATGTATCAAAACTGGAGCAAACAATGTGGAGCAGCTGTGCATGACAAGTAATCAGCCTGTCCCTTCAGTTTGTTCAGTTAAAATTTGAAAATGAAAGAGAGAGGCTGATTTGTTGTCATGCACAGCTGCTCCAGATTTTGTCTGATCCCGTTTTTATAAATTCAGTTCCCTGTCTCTGACCTCTGCAGGCAGTTCCTTTTGAACTCATGGCTTTTGCTCAGATACAGTATGCACTGTCAACTGTGGGGCCTTCTATAGAGAGGTGTGTGCCTTTCCAAATCATGCCCTATCAATTTAATTTACCACAGGTGGACTCCAATCAAGGTGTAGAAGCATCTCAGCAACGATCAAGATAAATGGGAGGCACCTGAGCTAAATTTCAAGTGTTTTTGCAAAGGGTCTGAATACTTGTGCCAATGTGATATTTTTTCAATTTTTCCTTGTTCATACATTTGCAAACATTTCTAAAATTCTGTTTTCACTTTGTCATTATGGGATACTGAGTGTAGATTAATGAGAAAAAAAAGAAATTAAACAACTGTAGTATCAGGCTGCAACCTAACAAAATAAAATAAATGGGGTCTGATTACTTTTTGAATTGTTACAATGTTATCCCTGTGGCGAGATACTGTTTTGAGGGCATTTTTGTGTATTCGTAGATATTAGGTACAGTATCCCCACAGGAAGTAATACCCCATCCCACCATCCATATTCCCTTGCTTTGTAAACAATATGAATTGCACCATTATGTTGAAAACAAACATATTGTATTTCTACTATGTTTTTAAAAATGTTGTAACTATGCATAGAGTAAATCTGTTATCTTACCTCTCCCTAGATGGACGTCCACAGTGGGAAGCAGAAGCAAATATTGTAGCTGAGAAGAGAGAAATGGTAAGTCTTATGCATAATTTTTATAGATTTGCAGGGATAGTGTGTATTTGTGTGTATGAGAGAGGAGTGGGGAAGCTGAGAGACAGACAGAAAGGTGTGTGTGTGTGTGCGGGCGCGCGCGCGCAGAAGCAAGTGGACTCTATCTTGGTGAGATCACCTAAACGCACTACGCAGTGCAATCTTATTGAAGGACTTTATCTTTATGTTTGATGTTTGCTGAGGAAAGCCTTTTACTTGACCGTTTTGCTGAAGAAAGCTGTTTGTTCTGTTACCGCTGGATGAAATAAAAACTGTTTATATCGGACTGTGTTGAAGACGCATGTGTACCCCTGGGGTTCCCCACAATATATACAGTTTATATTTTTCATTTTAATTTAGATAAATGTGAAACTTTCTTTATCAATATTGGTTATATGCTGCTTGGAGCCAGCACAATGAGACCATTCTTCACCATTTTTGTACAGCAGTTTAACAATCTGCTTTGACTCACTTGTGCCTTTTGACATCGGTGCGGCGGCCCTGGGGCCTAAGGCAGTTGAGAGGCCCACTGAGGTCTGTCCCGGGGATTTTAGGCAGAGGAGGACTGAGCGAGGCCCCTTAAAAACGGCCGCTGCAGCGGCGATCACCCTTCTCATTGAGAGGTGAGAGCTGAGAAGAGTGATCGCCGTTCTCGATCACTGAAGCCAGCACACAGTAGTGACAGCTGTACACATTCTTTTCCTCCTCGGCGGCTGCAGCCACAGATCGGCCGAGGGGAGAAGAATCTGTTCAGCTGCCACTACTATGTGCCGGCTTCAGTGATTGGTCTGCTCGGCGGCCACCTGCAGCTTCCTCCTCCCACTTCAGCTGCTATAGGAGAAAGACTGGAGTATCACCCTGGCTGGAGACTTAAGGAGAGCGGGACCTGGCTGGGGAAAAGACACAGGGGAGTCTGCTAGGGCCCTCCAACTTAGTAATGCAGGAAACATGGCTGCACCCCCCACCACCACTATCACCTGGAGAGAAAGAGGGCAGATCACATCTGTGTGCACTGTAAGTTTTTATTCTTTCTGTGTCACATCTGCTGACCTCTGTACTGTGTGTCACATCTTGACCTCTGCAATTTGTGCATCACCCTGACCTCGGCACTGTGCGTCACACCCTGACCTCTGCACTGTGCGTCACACCCTGACCTCTGTACTGTGCGTCACACCCTGACCTCTGCATTGTGCCTCACACCCTGTCCTCTGTACAGAGACTGCTGTGACTGGTTCAGTGTTCTCTGTACAGTACTACGTTATATGTCAGAGCTATATGAATGTAAAATAATAGTGTATGACCATGGGGGACATGTAAGCTCCTTTAGTGCAGAGAGAGCTGGGCGGGTTAGGGGGAATAATTCCTGCAAAAATCTGGCACCAGGGCCCTTTGTTCCTTAGGTCCACCACTGCCTTTTGATTTTTTGCCGTGCGAGTCTAATAACACAGACAAAGTGAATGAATAAGAAGAGAGACACCCCCAGCCTTTTGCTAGCTCACTGGCCACAAATGTGGAGTTTCTTGATCGTACATCACAGTAAACGGGGAGTTAATTTTGGAACCAATTGGCTATGCAGCTTCTTTCAAGTGAGTGGACACTGACAAATCAAAGCTATAAGGACAGCCCTGTGTAACAACCTCCCCACCCACATGCTGCTGCAGCTGCTGCAACTCTGAAAAACAGCACAGGGAGGAGAAATATCAGTACTGCTACAATGGGTCACCGTTTCAGCCTGCAGTGTCTTGGCATCCTCCAGCTTTCGTGGTTTTGAGTACCTGGGGTTTTACACTGAACCATAAGCGACTCCTTATGGTCCATAGTTCAGGAGTTTGGAGATTTGGCAAAACAGAGCTCAACCCAATCTACTGGTTTAACGCTGCATGTGGAGTGCAAGCTCAGTTTAGCTCAGTGTGCTGAGGAGGTAAGGTGTCTCTCTCCAGCTCTCCTGGATATAGACATAGTTGCAGAACATTCTTCTATCAAACAGCTGCTGGCAGTGTCAGACTGGACAACCAGTTCCTGACCATTCACTCCAGCAGGTTTCGGGTGTCTTCTCGACAACAAAATTCAATCTTTAATTTCAATGGCACTGTCTACTCCCTGTGATTTCCAGTTGCTGCAGCTGTCATTCCAGGATCAGTGCCTCAACAGTGTTTATAAAGTCTGGCAAACTAGTACCTTTCCAAGGGCCAAACATCAGCCTTTCACCTGGGTTTTGCCCCTAAGCTGTAGCGACACAACCTGCAACCTATAGTGAGACTGTTCGCTAATTTTGGCAGCATATCTGACACCAGAAAGAGGAGACAGTCACCATGCCGGCTGTGGAACCCTTTTTCTCTTCCTGTTTTGTTTAGATACTGCTCAGGTTAAATCAGCCTGTGATGCATAAATGTCCTCCTCTGAGCTATGCCTTTCTAATACCACTTCTGATCAACCCAGAGTAGCAGGGTAGAATCCATAATTGTTGCAGACCCAGGGGCTTGATCCTACAACTTATGCCACAGGCACATGTAGAGCAGGATTTGCAATCTTTAGCGAGGCCTGGGCCACCAGGTTTGTGAGAGGAATCCCAGGGTCTTTGAAATTCCGAAGTAACCATAAAGCGGGGCTTCATGCCAGGAACCAATGACTATGACCACTCATAGATATGTCTTGCTTTTGTGTATAGGCAGGTTGTTAGATTTAAATAGGTTAATTTTGAGACTAACCGAAGGTACTGGAAGCCTTCTTGATCTGGAAGAGCATATCAGACTGAAGTAGGACATTTATATATGAAAGTATTGTGTCAGGCTGAGCAGAAATTGAGGTATCCAAAACTATGCAAGAGAGGGCATCAGGTTTATCATTCTTAGTCTGAGGAAGATAGGTCATATGGAAATTAAATCTAGAGAGAATAAGAGTGCCCATCCAGCCTGGCGTGGCCTGAGATGTTTTGCAGTCCTTAAATACTGTTATTTTGGTCAGTTAAAACAGCTCCTTCTAGGAAAAAGCACCACTCCTTAAGGGCCCCCTTGATTGCAAGCAACTTTTTCACCAACATCGTTGTAGTTCTACACTGGGGATATTTGGGGCCAGTTCGTTATGAAAGGATGGTGTCTACCGTGCTTTCCGAGGCATCCGCCTCCAAGGGTAGCGCCGGGTTACAAGTGTTTCAGCATCATTCTCTCTCTATCATACACATGCCAGGGTCTTTTATCTGTGCTCAGAACACTCCTCTGAAGCAGGTCTCAGTGAATCACGTTCTTGATTGTAGAGTCCAGTCTTGTCCAGGAGGTCCCAAAGGTTACAATGTTCCTGCTTGGGAGCTAGGTTTGTGCAGTTGTTAACATAGGAAGAAGGTTCCATCATATGCCACTGCCCCCATCTCAGCAGAGAAGATCAGAATATTGCCCAAGTAGATTGCCATAAAGACGTCAATAGAATCCCACAAAATGTTGTTTCTGTAATGTTGAAAAATAAGAGGCATTACAAAGGACTAAAGGCATAACAAAATATTCATAGTAAGTAAAGTTGAATAAAGACACAGGTCCATTTAGTTCAGCTTGTATGCGTGTGTACGTGTGTGAACGTCATGCACAACTCCGATATCTCTGTATATTCTGTAAACTGAGAATCCCATCTAAGTGGTTTTGAAGCTAACAATGCTTTCAGCTGGTACAGCTGACTGCAGAAGGGCGTTCCACATTGTTATTGCTCTGACAGTAAAAGAAAGGGGGAAAAAATAAACCCTTGGAGCAGTCTGAGAATATACAGCATTTTGTCGAACGTCTTGTTGTAACCTTGTGTTTTCTTCAGAGTCCTTATTTTAACCTCTTGCCGTCCGCCCGTAGTAAAAAAAACGGACGGACGGCACTGCAGCATCTGCGGGTTGCCGTCTCCAGACGGCAATTTTTTTTCTTTTTCCTGTACTGCAGTCCCCATTGATACGTTTGTAAATTGTAGTCATATCTCCTTTTGGGCGTTGCTTCTCTAAGGCGTTCCATCCCCCTTATTAATTGGCCTTATTTGAAATGCCCAAATCTGGTGTGGATAGCCACAATCCACTCATCCCCTCACTGATTCTTATCAGGTTCTAGACTCCTCAAAGGTCCAGCTTGGTTATCCTAACAGATTCTGAAATATTTAAGGGACGAGGTGAAGCGAATTTTGGTGGTGACTTTGAGCGCCTGATAATCAGTACATGGACAGAGCGAGTGGTCATTCTTCACAAAGAATATAGAAGTCGATGGTTGGATAAACCCCTTGTTTAGGTTCTCTTGAATAACATCTTTAAGGTTTTCCATTTCTGGTTCCAGCCAGGTTCACCTGACATGCACAATACCGCACAGTGCGGTCACAGAGTTGCCCACCACCGCCGATTGCGCTGGCAGTGCCTTTTTTTCTCATGGCACCTCAGAAGTGCTGGGGAGGGGGATTGTGCGGTTTCCCGCTGCGATTCCACCCATGCAATCGAACACAATCGCGGCTAAAATAGGCACGTAATGTGTTTTGCAAAAAAAGGTATATGTACCTTTTTTTTCTGCGATTTCCGCACATATGTAACCCCATTGAAATTAATAAGAGGCCAAGTGCCAATCGCTGTGTGCAATTGTGCATGATCGCACGGTCCCAGGCCGCTCGTCCCGAATCGCCCAGTTCTGCACCAGCCCTCAGATAAATTCAGCTGAAAGGGATCCTGGCACCAGGAAGGAGCTTGATAGGGCAGTCGTAAATGCGTAGTTACATAGTAGGTGAGGTTGAATGATGGCACAGGTCCCTCAGGTTCAACCTATATAGTTCTTGTGTGTGTGAGTATACTGCTTGAGATTTCAATAACCCTGTATGTTCTGTGAACTGAGGAATTCATCCAAGGTTTTTTTTTAAGCAGTTTGTTTCCTGCTGATACAGCTATCTGTGGAAGTGAATTGCACATTTTTACCACTCTCAAGTAATATACCCCTTACGCAGTTTACGATTATACCTCATCCCCTCCAACTTCTTGT